TGTCGAACACCTGAAGACGTCTCAGTTCCGCTGCTCGAATAGGCCAAGTCTCATAATCATACAACAAAACAGCCCGTACTGTAGCTTGATACACACGTCCTTTGCGATTCACGGATAAAGCACTCTGACGCCAGAGTTGTCTCAAAATGGCAAACGCGACCCGAGCCTGACAGATTCGTTCATTGACCTCATCCGTCACACTACAGTCGGAACTAATATAACTTCCAAGATACGTAAAACGCTCCACAACTTCCAGTACCTCTCCTTGGATTGTAAGTGGCGTGTTCAGTGACTTCACGTCCACGAGTATGACCTTGCACTTTGTGGGTGCAAAGTGCATACCAAGAATACTTGCGCCTTCTCCTCCTCTTCGAACATGAGAACGATGTCGTCTTCGTACTCCAGATCGACAAGGTTTTCTCCACAGGCCATTTGTACACCAGGGTTTAGGGGACCCTCCATCGTCTGTCTCATTATTTCATCGGTCACGAAGTTAAAAAGGGGTGGAGAGAGTGGGTATCCCTGACGGACACCGCTTTGTGTACGGTTTTGGAGAGTGTACGGAAACTTTTGGAGAGCTCCCCGTATACTCTCAAGAAGAACAGACCGATCAACCGAGTCGAATGCGACTCGGAAATCCAGGAATAATAGAATTGAGGGTCGATTATACGTATGGCATTGTTCCAGCACCTGACGGAGTGTGAAGATTTGGTCAACACAACCCTTTCCAGGCCGGGACCCCACTTGCTGCTCTCGAGTCAGTGTTTCACGAGCCACTGTAAGGAATCGAAGCATCAGTGAATTCAGCAATCTCGTTACAACCTGGGTTTAGCTGATCCCCCCGTGATCACCACACTCATGACGACCCCTTTTTTTGAAAATGCGATCAGTGAATTCAGCAATCTCGTTACAACCGGGGTTTAGCTGATCCCCCCGTGATCACCTTCTCCTCTCCCCTTCCAAATGTCCGGCAAATAGACCAGGCATGACTGAAGGAGCCTTGGTGATGTGAAACACACAAAAGCTGATACGCCACTTTACGTTCCAAATGAAAAAAAACAATGTTGAGTCGGATGCAGATAATTATGGTGAATTTAGCACACTCTGGATAACAGCAATGAAGATTTCGAACTTGCAAAGCGATTTTCAGGATTACTTGCTTTTTGGCACCGGTATGGTGTGTACAAGTGAGTTGATTGGCTGCTGCTAAAAGCAGTCACGTGATCCGGGTCTCACGCACAGTTGTGACCCACAAACAGCGAATTGGAAGGACCAGAAAAAAAAACAGATTTGCGTCATCCCTCGTTTTGTAGTCATTACTCAGGCACAACTAGGTAGTTCAGAAATTTATTGACTGGACCGGCCGGAACGTGCCAATCAGTGTACACGGTGCAGAAAGTAGACTATAGTTTGTGTCGTTCCCAAAAGAAACCGTCCACATCGATGGGACATTTTGTTGTTTTAGTTTTTACCGTTTCTTCCAATCCCATTGTGCCACCAAAAAAAGCTTGAAACTAGTCTGGTGTTAACGAGATACTCAACTGAACCTCAGCTGAACCCCTCGCTTATGATATTCTCAACTTACTGGTGCTGCACAAAGGTCGGCTCATGCTTCAGTTGGTCACGTGATCTTCAAGACACCTTGGGAAATTTTCTTGACGGAACAGAATACCCATAAAGTTGCAACAAACTGTTCAGTCGCCGACAATCGGCTCATCGTACAAGCAGATTTCTTGGGTTCTATTTGAACCCAAACTGTACGAACTTAAAGAACAACAACAAACTAATTTGATTTTAACAGGAGAGTAAACTGAATCCCGGCTTAATTTCTCATTTATTCACTGCCGAAGAGTTTTCAGCACCTTTATGAGTAGTGTATTCCCCCTGGGGAATGTAAGGCAATGTATCCAATGTCATCCAAACTGCGACTTGGGGTGAAACAATCAATTTAAGAATATCATAAACGAGAAAAAACCGTCCACATCGATGGGACATTTTGTTGTTTTAGTTTTTACCGTTTCTTCCAATCCCATTGTGCCACCAAAAAAAGCTTGAAACTAGTCTGGTGTTAACGAGATACTCAACTGAACCTCAGCTGAACCCCTCGCTTATGATATTCTTCAACTTACTGTGCTGCACAAAGGTCGGCTCATGCTTCAGTTGGTCACGTGATCTTCAAGACACCTTGGGAAATTTTCTTGACGGAACAGAATACCCATAAAGTTGCAACAAACTGTTCAGTCGCCGACAATCGGCTCATCGTACAAGCAGATTTCTTGGGTTCTATTTGAACCCAAACTGTACTAACTTAAAGAACAACATTCACTGATAAACTAATTTTATTTTAACAGGAGAGTAAACTGAATCCCGGCTTAATTTCTCATTTATTCACTGCCGAAGAGTTTTCAGCACCTTTATGAGTAGTGTATTCCCCCTGGGGAATGTAAGGCAATGTATCCAATGTCATCCAAACTGCGACTTGGGGTGAAACAATCAATTTAAGAATATCATAAACGAGAAATTGAGCTGAGATTCAGTTGAGCCTCCCTTCAAAACCAAATTCGTTTGCGAATAAGTATAATTCAGAGAATCGCATCCCTTTTGGGATCAGGTAGAAAATAAGGTTTACGGGAAATTGGAAACCGCACCCGCCTGACAATTTCAAGACGAAATTAAGCATGTGGTGTTTCAGAGTTTTCAGCAAACTTCTGAGTAGGGTTTCCGTCAAAGAAACTGAGAGCTTTCGACAAATACACTCATTTGCATATCGATTCAGTTTTGACGGGAGACTCACCTGGAACCCAGCTGAATCTCTCCTTTGTGATGTTTCCAGGCAACTGAATGTGTTGCACCGGGCCAACCCATGTTTCAGCTGGTACGATATTTGAGATATCGCGATATATCATTAACGAGAGATCCACCTGGGTTCCAGGTGAGTCTCCCATCATACAAATGAGTGTATTTGTCGAAATCTGTCCACTTTGGGTTCAAGTAGAACATAAGGTTGACGGAAACTCGGGGACTGCGCCTACCTGATGAGCCACAAGAAGTACGAAACTGGTCGTGGATTGTCGAAGAGTTTTCAGCAACCTTATGAGTAGTGTATAAACCGAAACCTTGTTTCCACTGGCTCACTCAGGTGGCTTGCAATACCTAATAGTTTCTCTTTGTGACGAAATTTCATCACAAGCAGTTTGTCAGATGGGCTATTTCCGATGAAATGAGCTGCCTTCTCAATTCGATCATTAGTAACCTTACAGCGGTCCTCTGAGCGCCTTTTGTGGCTTGTATGTGGTGACCAATAGGGTTTTTGTTCGATTGTAGCCAAACTTTAGTGAGGTGTCTGCAGTCCTGAGTCCCCTTTTAGCCCAGCTGCTCCCTCCAACTGTTTGCTAGAATAACGCCTTATTCAATAACGATTAACTGTCACACTCCGGTTTTCAGAAGTGCATGTTCTCACATGTTTATGCCGTTCCACTGGTGTCATTGATGGCGGCTAAACCTATTGATGTCGACAGATTGAATAGTTGGCTCGGTGGAAGATCGATTAACTGAAGGTCAGTGGGTTGAATGCAAAGAATTGAAAAGACCTGTCTCTGACACGAAATGCCAGGCTTGTCAGCTCTCGATGTCGTCAACGATGACCACATTCGCCGATGCTTGGCAGCAACATGATGTAGTACTGACAGGATATTTCAATGTGTCAGTCATTGATCGAATCACGTGCGCGCGCGCACACACACAGTGTGATTATGGACGAACCAAGGTCGGACTCGTTTGTTGCTGTCATCGCGCTTACAGTGTCCGCGAAAAAGTACTTCTCATGCTGTCGTATCTTCGTGAATTGCCACCAACCTGCTTGCTTGTTCAGGTGCGTAGAGATAGCTAACGGAACACGAAATAGTAAGAATATTCATACCCAACCAAATGAATGAAAGTCTTGAAGGTTTGTGCAGTCTACTCAGTCGCGCATCTTAGGAAAATTAACCATTCCCAACTTCCTCAGGGTATCACAGGTACTGCCCCCTAACTCCAAGAGATCCCAAAACGGCTCCTCTACAAGGGCACCGGTTATCCGTGGGGTGGAGGGGGTCTTAGTAGTATCTTTCAGATAATCGGTGCTCTTGCACAAACGTGATTCATTCACACTATCGTAACATGGTTGACCGATTAACTCTGGGCTATAAAGAACCGCTGACTTTATCATCTGGCCAAAGTTGACCGATCGATGACTACTGGAAGCTTCATCCTTCCTCATAGTGGAACGCGCCGTTTACGTGTGCAATGCTCAAATCTTGGCTGATACGGATCGAGTCCAGCAAAAAACAGTCTTCCTTATTGGGGTTGGTTGTTGTATCAGCTGTACTTTTGATAAACGGAACGGGGAGCTCTTGTGTACTATTCCCCCTTTGGGAAGTAAATTACTCAGTTGGAAAACCAGTGTTCTGGTGCGGTGTTCATGTGACCCATTGACCTTTGCAGTTGTTTGACGTTTGACACAAGCATTTCACACTCGTAGGCGGTTTCTTTGCTATAGTTTGATGACTGTATTGCATCGTTTGTGCTCATACGCACACCAGCTGCGGAGTTTGCATCACCTTGATCTGAAGCCTGTTTTTAAACTGGTTGAGTAATCGCTGTACACAAGTTACAACAATCAGAAAGCGTTTCCTCTTCAGTTTCAACCGCAGTGGAGGCCTTCTTTGTCTCAAAACGTCTCCCCATTGAAGACATTGTCTTCAGTATAGTGCATAATTTTTTTTGTTTTCTACCCAAAAAAACGGGGAAATTGGTCTCTTAAAACAATGAAGATGTCGATAAGAAGCCTATGTCTTTGTAATGTACTACTCATGAGGTTATTGAAAATTCGTCGACAGTCCACGGCCGGTTTCGCCCCTCCAGTTCGGGCTCATCAGGTAGGCCCACACCCCGAGTTTCTGTCAACCTTATGCTCTGCTTGAAACTTATGAAGCTTCGGTACCCAAGACATTAAGCATAACAGGAAAATCTTTTTTCGGTGGTAGTACCAGACGCTACCGATCTAGAAGTAGAGGACTAAGAAATGCCACGAGGACGCGCTGGGTTTTCGGTGGTAGTACCAGACGCTACCGACTAAGAAATGCCACGAGGACGCGCTGAGAACTTCCGCTTGGGACATCTGAGGAATATCAGGCAGTCAAGTCAAGTGCGCATCAATAGGATTGTGTGCAGGAGGGGAGTGTCAACAAGTGTACAGGGACCGAATACATTGGAACAGGCCCGATGACGGACATGGAGATCGTACAATGAAAAGACATTATCAACTTCGTCTAAAGGTTTGAGTGTGTTCTGGGGCCAGGTTGGGCGTATCATCGCCATCATCATCATCATCGTCATCATCATCATCATCATCACCATCATCGCCATCATCATCATCATCATCATCATCCTCATCATCATCGTCATCATCATCATCATCATCACCATCATCGCCATCATCATCATCATCATCATCATCCTCATCATCATCGTCATCATCATCATCATCATCACCATCATCGCCATCATCATCATCATCATCATCATCCTCATCATCATCGTCATCATCATCATCATCATCACCATCATCGCCATCATCATCATCATCATCATCATCCTCATCATCATCGTCATCATCATCATCATCATCATGATCATCGTCACCTAATGTTAGACCGATGGAGACATCTACACACAAAATCCCTCGATCGGTCCCTTGGCCGATGCCTAACACAGCTTTAGTTTGATTTAGCTTATTGGTTCTCCTTCTGCCTTAAATATTGACAAACCTCGTAACCAGTCACACTTGGCTTGACGAAGCTTTTGTGTCAAAAGCGGGACGTTGCCCCGCAATCAGTCCACCGATTGTTACCATACTTTTCCGAAAACGCTTTTACCAGTTCTACGCCCTTTGAAAGGATAACAACCCAGTCCGGTCCCAAACATTGAAGACGCTGAACATGTTTCAACTCTCAACCTGGATGGCCAGGAGACTGGTGTTCAAACCTTTTACAATTGAATAAACTGCTATGAAAGGCTCTACAAGTGTCGTACGGACGCACCTTCCCCTTTATAGCTCAATGGGTCACGGAGGCACACAGACTGTCATACCACGATGAGCTCCTGTCTTTTCTTGAAGGGTAGAGGCCTGTGCAGACAAGGTGTAATCTGCTGGAAAGCACCAGTCACTTGGAACCCCACCGTCACCCAGTTTCTGCTCGCTATTAGGGGACAAAAAAACAGAAACTACCGAGCTTCTACAGCATACCGCTGACTTTTTTCCAGTTGGATTGATTACCAATCATACACGATGAAACATCGGCAAGTTCGGAAAACAGATCAACTGCCACCTCACATCAACAGCCTAGTTTTGCGGCAGCGTTGTGCCAACTGTTCGTACAATCAACTGGTGCGGTTTTTCAAAGACGATCGAAACAGAGTCGTGATGTATTTTGGTGGTCACCGTACCGCCTGTAAATATGGCCGAAGCGAGGTGATTTATCCGTTTCGTTTTATCCCTTTCGGAGCGTGAAATCATCTCCGAACGAGGGCTCCATTATCTTGACAGAACGAGCAACTGAACTGATTCGGACACACAGGTGCAGTCGGCCAATGTCCTGACGGACGGATTAGGCTTCCGGTTTACGCAGGCGAAAACCCAAAAGACAAAGAGCACTGGGTGTTGGAATTTCAGTCACGCTAAACCGGGCTGACGCACACACAACGCAGTACATTGGTGTGCTTACATACCACCGCTCAGTTCCGAAAAACCTGGGAGTGCTACACGGATGAGCGCCGTTGGCATTCGTGGTGTTTTAGAAATGAAATCAACAGGAAGTCCGTTTGGTTGGATGAAGTGACCAAGTTCGAACCGGTGCGGCTGACGGTCAGTTCAGTTTGTCCGAACTGAAAATAGTTCAGTTAGCCAAAATCCTGGTACTGATTGGCCCAAATCCATGGTCTCTAACCTTTTCTTCATTGCAACAGATGCTCTGATCATTGCCATCTCTCTGGATGGGGACACCAACACGGTTACGGACATGGCCAGATGTAGCCCGGCCATTTCCTCAATGGAGCCCTTGAATCCGAGCTGTTGCCTTCAATGCACACAGCTTCAGTTCAGGTCTCCTCAATGAAAAGTACGCTGACATCATTAATTGTATACGCAATTTTAATTGGCTACCACTTCCAACGCGCAGCTATCTAGTCCAGCGCCCCAAATCATCGGCGAACGAAACCGTGACTACTATACCACTGCACGGCAAGTATATGGTTCTCACAGACGACGACGATGATGATGACGATGATGATGAGGATGATGATGATGATGAGGATGATGATGATGATGACGACGATGAGGATGATGATGATGATTCGGATGATTCGGATGATGATGATGATGATGATGATGACGATGATAATGATGATGATGATGATGAGGATGATGATGACGGCACAAGCGTATCCTTGTTCACGCAAGCACACACCGAGGTCACATTCACCTGCCCACAAGAACCGACCAAAGGCAGGTTTTCTTTCACGTTGGACTCCGACCAATCGTGAGTGAGATTCAAGGGTACCAGAACAGGGCTCATCTGTTAGAGAAACTGCTTGAAATGATCGCATTAGGAAACAAGGAAAACACAGCTGGAACCAAGTTGAATCTCTGATCAATGCTGCATCTACTTGATGAGACCCAAGAAGGTCGAAAATGGCCGTGGGCGGTCAAAGAGTTTGCAACAACTTTATGAGTATTGTATTACGTCCATACATGTATCGTGATATCCTGAATATCGTATCAACTGAAAAACGTGAGGCGGCTGGGTTCCAGGTGAGTCCCTCGCAAAACCAAATTGGCCTGCAAATCAGTGTATTTCGCTAATTCCGTGGAATTTGGTTTCAAGTAGAACATAAGATTGATGGAAACTCGCGCCTACCTGTTGAGCCCAAACTGGACGGCGAGACCGGTCGTGGGCTGTCGAAGAGTTTTCAGCAACCTAGTGAATAGTTTTCTTTTATGAAAGCTAAAATGTTCTTAACAAATGAAAAAGTGACAAAAAAACTTGCAAGTAAGGACGCTCCTAATCGTGATTCAGACAGGAAGTTGTTAGCCAGATTTGAGATTAGTGGAATACCAGAAGCGACACTACTTGTTTGCCCATGAGTCTGACCTCCAGAGATAAGGTGAGTAGTTTATGAACGCGATAAAAAGGTATCTCATTCGCATACCAGATCTACCTGGAACCCAGGTGAATCTCTCGTTTGTGCTGAGCCAGGCCGCCTCATGTTTCACCTGGTGCCATATTCAAGATATCGCGATACATTGTATAGGTTTAATACACTACTCAGAAAATTGTTGACGGAGAGTTTTCAGCAACCTTATGAGTAGTCCATTATGTCTATACCTTTGAGAAGTTTAACTGCTAACAGTAAATAGACGTTCTCACTGATAATAAAGTCACACAAATGATCAACGCTCCCAGACAACGGAGCACTGACAAATGACTTATCAGCATTCAACGAGTACACTTTTGAGGATGTACTGACCTGAAGTAGAGGACAACACAAATTCCAAAGAGTCGCGTAAGAGGCACGGTGCTAAAAAGTTGCGCAAGGTGTGACGGTGAATGATGAGAGGTAAATGAGAGGTAGGTAAATTACTTCCCAGAAGGGGTAGAAAACGTACAACCTGTATTTTCGTTATCTTAGAGGCTACGGAGGGTACAGTAAATGAAGGGTAAGGATTTGTCGAAAAGACAAAACTTCTAGAAAGGGTGGTTCAACAAGGATTAACTTCGCAACCTCCAAACTTATGTTGATCAACAGGATGCCCATTTGAATAGTAGAGCTGATCGAGGAGTTCAAGGGTACAGGTGATCCACAGCAAATCGAAAGGCAGAATTCGTTCTGTCCTAAGGAACGAAGACCAAGACCACACGCCTTGTCGACAAACGTGGTACACCCATGCAACAAAAATAGCTGGTCGCATTCAGATGGCTGCCGATTTTATCCGCACATAGCTATTGAACCATACAGCTATGCCATCATTTCGCAATAAAGCATCAAGGCAACTGAATGTGCTGCACCAGGCCGCCTACCTGATGAACCCCAAGAAGGGTCAAACGGGTCGTGGGTTGTTGAGAATTATCCAGCAACCTTATGAGTAGTGTATTAGGTCTTGATAAGCACTTTAATCGGGAAGATAGTACCCATACAATATGTGGACCAATCATCCGACCGCTCAATAAACCGCCTGGTTGGGGGAGGGGCATCTAGGGGCCAAGGTGCAAGGTAGAATAACGAGTAACTGAGCTATTCACGGAAGAGAAAAATGTTCCAACAGTCTGAACCCACGGTCTTCAGTGGGAGTGACATTCCTTCCCTGGGGGTGGCTCCCCATGCGTTGGAGTGTATAGGCCACTCATAGGGTCAGTTAAGGCTTTCTGCAACAAAATCTGCTGGCCTTCAAAAAGAATGTGACACGTGATGATGTGGGATTAGCCGGCGCATTTGAATCTTCTTCGTTTAGGAGGCAGTGGAAAACGGAGACAGCCGGGAAATAATCCGATTTCAAATAGTGGGATGCTTTGTACCAAGGAACCCCTAATTTCCTGTCAGAAGTGCAAGAATATTTCCAGGGGTGTCAATCAATAAGGACGA